CTCTCCAGATTCTACGCAGTAGATAATGTCATAAAAAGAAAACAGACAAAGATTTCCTCAAGACAGTTGACTTCAACAAAATTATTTTCCTTAAAAATCTTGGTATTCAGCCGGAAACTAATAAATATAACATAATAGGCTTACAGTGATAGAAACAGAGATACCTCTCAACTATTCTGATAACTGTTTCAAACGAAGTAGATAAAGTTTGGGAGACAAAGAGATACCCTCCCCCCCCAAAACAACACACGCCTCCCAGAGCTGGAAAAACAAGAAAGTGAACACCACCGTTTTCTCAATTTCTCAAGACATTTCTATGTATTGTTTCTCCCATGGTCATGCACAGTTCTTAGTTCATGCATTTTTTACTTTTGTTATGGTAAACCCCTACCCAGGAGGCGAACAGTGGCCCTTTCTGACTTTGCTCCCTTGGTGACTAGGCCCCTAAATTTTATGTTCTGAGGGGGAAGGTCCTTAAGACCCTGCTATTCCTCCCTTGTTCAGCCTGGATGGACATAAATAATCTAAAATGATCCTTGTATCCATTTCTTCTTAGTTGTTAGAAGAAAGCCCATTGTTGTCATCAGGTAACAACTACATTTAGAAGATTCCACATCTAAGACCTTAGATCCCAAGCCAAAAACTTTAAATTATCACCTATCATATTCATGATCTCTACTTTTTTTTTTTAAAAAAAAAAAAACTTGAGGAGCTCATGACCTGCAAGCAGAGAACACAATTAAGAAATTAAGGAAACCAGACAAAATACTCAAATTTCAAAAAATAGAGAAAATAAATCAAAATCCTGTTCTCGATAAAGTAAAACAAAAAATAGATCAAACAAACCTAGGCTTCTGAGCCAGGTCGAAGTAGAATTCCAGTTCCATACTATTGGAACCTTATGAACAGTTTAATATCAGTATGGGGAAATACAACAGAATGATTGAATATCTATAACAAAATAGCTAGCTAACAGGAGCAAACCTGAAAATTTTGACTGGTTGGTGTTGCCACTCTTATAGTGGCATTCTCACCAGGCCTCTGTGCAATATTAGGAATTTGTTGAGGCATAGCTGAAATGCCACCAAGAGCTTGAGAGACAATTGGCATCATTTGCTGAAACATCCTAGACAAGTCCATACCACCACCTTGCCCGGAAAACATGCTTCCAAGATCCTGGGTGTCAATCTGCTGGGCGATCTGACTGACAGTGTTCATCATTGCTGGATTTTGAGTGAGTTGCTGCATCATATTTCTCAAGAGATCCGGAGAGCCAGCCCCACTTTGTTGTGAAACCCCACTCAACAAACCATCTAAAGCAGGACTCTGAAGGACACTTGACATTGCATCCACTATCTCTGATGGGCCATCAACATTTCGGTTTCCTGTGGCAATAGTCCCCGTAACTCCCCTATCTGAGTGTGTCCCTGAGGGCATAGCAGTGTCATTTTCCCTGGCTGCAAGCGTTGCAAGAGACTGCAAAACTTGTTGCCCATTNTGATTGGCCATCAACATTTCGGTTTCCTGTGGCAATAGTCCCCATAACTCCCCTATCTGAGTGTGTCCCTGAGGGCATAGCAGTGTCATTTTCCCTGGCTGCAAGCGCTGCAAGAGACTGCAAAACTTGTTGCCCATTTCGTTTAGGTAGTTCATTTTGATTGTCGCTAGTTGAACCATCACCGTTATTTCCATGAGGTCTGGATTGCTTAGTTCGTCTCTAATGTGTAGGTCCACAAAAGAAAATGTCAAGTCCAGGACCAAAAATTGAAAAGCAGTACAAGAAACAGAAAGTCGTGAAAGGTTGAAACAATTCCAGAAAGCATTCACAAATCTGGCTTTTTCATCAGTTATGACTTGTGAGATCAACAATAAATAGCATTGTCCTGACAAACCCCGGTACACACTAATTCAACATATTGGTTTAAGATATAAGGCTAAAATCGTGAAAAGGTCAGCTCCAGCTCCTCAACTAATTTTTATACTTGTAAAGAAAATGATCCATCAAAACAGCAGAAGAAACTACAAGTTCACTAACTCAACCCTGATGGTTAAGAAAATTGCTTCAAATCCAGAAGTCCTGAGTCTTTTATCTTCTAGTTTATATAACAAAAAGGACAGGATGTGCTAAGCTCCCACATGATAAGGGCCGGACCACACCAGCACTGATAGAAATTCTTTTTATAATCGAGAAATCTCAGAGGGCCATTGGCGCACGCTTCGAAACTCGAAAGATAATGGGCTCGTCTTTCTACCCTTCTCCCCTTAATTACCAGGCTCTTGTTTGTGGCAGGGTTCGAACCTGTGATGTTCCCCCGACCCAACATCACAAGTTGCAGGCTTATTTATTATAGAATATCAACTTTTAAAACTGTTGAGCGACGCGAATGCTAAATTTAAGGTAAATAAATAATTGACAAGACAAAAGAAAATACAAACTTAGGGCACATGAAAGCAACACAAGAAAATTTGACCTAGCACTTCATGGAACATGAGCATTAAACAAATCAGCAGACACAAAATTATTCATTAAATAGAAACGGACAATGAAGCGGCAGAAACTGGTGAATGCCATCACTCCAATATAAACTGGTTAGAGGCTTCTAACTCCTTATCACATGTCCTTTCAAACAGTCTACTATATTTGTAAATAAAAATGAATATTCTATTATAACTCCATCTTTCAGCCAAATCAAATAATCAGACATATCCAGAAAGCAGCATCTAAAAGGCTTGCCTACCTTTGGCTGCAAACCTCCAAACCCTAAGCCAAGGGGCACAGATGAGGATTCATCAGGACTACCTAACTCCTGACCAGATCTTTGAGCTCCTCCCGCACTGGCTGAGGCCTCTGGCTTACCAAAAGACATTTCACTTGATTGACCTTGACCCTGGCATTTACAAGTTTAATTAGGCCTACATATGTCGTACTAGGGAAAAAAGGACAGGTCGCAGAATCATTTTATTAGCACCGACCATTTTATCCTCTCTTCCAGGAAAATCGTGCGTCAGTAGCGGCTCAGGCACAGTCATCCCACTTGCAGATGTGATACCTAGTTGAGTGCTTACAGTATCATTCACAGCACCAGGCACAGTAGTGTGTTCTAGGCCACTTGAGCTCTCTGATTGGCCTTCATAATACAGAAAAGCACTTCAGAAAGTATATCGCCAACATGTATCATTATCAACCATTGACAAAGTATAGATGTTTACATATCAAGACGCTCTCAGCCCACAATAAGTTCAGATACAATAATAGATTGTTATAGAACATTAATATGCAAAAATGTACCAGGTTGTGGCATACTAGAGACTGAGATAACAGCAGGCCTTGGTGGAACAGCTGTAGCCATCATATTTCGGACAGGCAAAGCCCTTGATTGGCCAGAGTCAGTTCCATTACCACGTTCACCCTGTGCTCCATCTCCATTGGTCGACCTAGCACCAACTGCAGAATTAATAGGTGCTAAAAGCACCCATAGTTAGAAAGGTTACACACATATCCTCCCAATTGTTGCAATGCCCCAAAGAAAATACAGAATATTAAATACTAGCAGATTTTTCATACCGGCATGTATATGAATATTGACATGCCTTGGAGCACTACCAATCCCAAGAGCGCCAAAGGGGCCAGGATTAGGGGGAACAGCAGTTGAGCCACCAAAGAGTGAACTGGTTTGAAGGGGGAAAGGCTGATCGAAGAAGAGCAATAAGTCATGGGATGAAAAGTTAAAAAAGGAACATCTACCTATCTTTCAGATTGCAAACCTAGACTAATCCCTCTATTTTTAACTGTCTAACAGACCTGAACCATTATGGGGTTCGGCCCTGTGGGAGATATATAAACAGCAGGACCAGCATTTACTGAAGATTCGGCCTGCAAAGAGCAATTTAACGACTGTAAGAAAAGCATTTTCAGAAAATGTTTTGCCACCAACAAGAGAAGAAAAGGACATACAGGTGACTGTCCCATTCTGAGAGTCAATATCGTCCTCCCAAGCTCTAGTAGAAGGGCACCTAAATGTTGCATTGCTTGACCAATTAACACTGATTCTGTCTGCACCTGTCCCCTTACTGCAGGATCACTGGAGCCCCCTTCCCGTTCCAACCGTCCTGCAATTTGCTATAAAGTGGCAGACGATTAGTAAACAAAATCAGAGAGAGAGAAGGAGAATAACTTTTCAGAAAGAAAGACATGTAACTAACACCTGTTTGTTCGGCTAGATAANGGGGGAGCGGAGAACAACTTTTTAGAAAGAAAGACATGTAACTAACAACTGTTTGTTCGGCTAGATAAGAGCAAGTTGACAATGCAAAAGAAAGTAAAAAGTTGGACAATGGCAGTTACAGCAGAAAAAGAATAAATGTGATCATCAATTCTAGGAGCCATAGCTTTATCAATGATCACTTAAAATATCTTATTAGTGATACTTAATGGAACTGTAAAAGCACTCCATCAGAGACAGAAGGTAATGGAATTCTCCTAAGCAATGCTTGAGTAAGGCTGCAGACATATTGCATCTAATGCTATGAGATTTCACAGTCTGGGGATGCAATTGGACCAACATTATTTGAGCCATCAAGTTCCATGTCTTAGAGAATAGAGAACAAGAGCAATATCTACAGTATGGTCCCATGCATGCATGCTGTTGCAGTAAAGACAGGTGAACATCATGCAACTTGTACAAATCGTGAGCACGAGAGATTTGTTGTAAGGGACTTCCCTCTAAAGATATATCCGAGCACTGTATTTAGTATCCTCATAATTTATGAAGTAAATGACTTATTGAGCCCAAACATGGTGACAATCTATCATCATTACAGCTCGGGAAGGTTGTAGTCAAGACATGATTCACCAGACACGGAGCATATCAGTTCTATTTTTCACAGGGTAAGAACAGACAGAGAAGAAGCATCCATACCATTAAAAGCACAAAGGACTGATATTCTACTATCATGTCAGGAATAGGCAAATATGGTGCAAGTTAAGGTTTGCAGCTAGCAACTCTCAAGCAGAGCTCAACCCTCCCATAGCTGGGGAAGTTTTTATATGCCTGCATTTATATGCATGAATGGGATTGACCCTTTTATTCTTTCTGTATAAAAAAGGCTCTAGCCGGAAAACAAGAAATACTCTTCTAAACCTACCTATCCTCTTCCCCCTCTGTCCCTCTTCTGTATCATGGGGTTCCTCGTGGCAACTAGTCTGCCACCTTTGTTTAATCAAAGAGTAATCCACAAGCATTAGGAGGACAATTCCTGGGGCCATGCAAACTTACCCTAAATAAGCACATCCTTATATGAGATACATTAACACGGAAAAAACAGAGAAGGCTGCCACAGAAAAAGCTTCTATCTCTCTCCATCCAGGCTCAATAACTCCCATCACTGTAATTTCTTCCCATCTTCCCAAGTGATCTTAACTAATCCACCCTTTATCTCCAATCTATATCCATATAATTGGACCGGGCACGGTGAAAGAAGCTATGTTTAGTTGAGCCTTCAGAAGACGGAAGAGAAGACGCAGAGCTTGGGATGTTGCCACCCTTAGCACTCATGTGGGTTGTTTAGAATGAGAGGAATAGGAGAGTTTTGATGGAGTAGAAAAAGATATTGTTCATTTGAGGAGTAGCCTCTTTTCCCTTATTTATTTTTGGTGCACCCATGAGGTTCCTATTTGTATAGGAGATTGGGTGTCATTCATAGAAAATCATGTCTTTTGTAAGGTTTTCCATTTTTTAGGTATACTCCTTGTATATGGGCATGTTTTGCCCTTTTTAATGAAATTTATTGCCTTATCACTAATCAGAAAAAAATATTAATGTGTTAATGACTCCTAATATTGTGAGGCAATTGAGAAAACTAGAATTTAAGATCTTAAGATTTTTATAGGCTTATTAAAGTGTTACACAAGTTGCAGGATAGAAACAATTAATCTGGTGCTGGACCAAATTCTCAACAGGCAGAGTACCTTTTACAAAAATGATTATTTAGTATGTAAACCTTTGCACTCTATCCCCACCACCCAAACCCTTTTCTTTGACAAAGATTAAAGAACTTTTGCACTTTGTTCCTTTCAAGCCAAAAAATAGTCATTTTTCCAGAACGGCTTTGATTTTAACAAAATATAATCGCTCTCCAGTAAAACTGGCTAGAGCTTGTGAATAATTCAAGACTGAGAAACTCAAGCTAGGAACTCCGGCCACATATGGTGGTTCCAGATTAGCCAAAAACATGTGCATTGCACAGCATGTGCTATTGATCATAGCCAAAAATGCTTCTGGCCTGATGATTTCTTAACAGGTAACACTATAACCCTGCAGGATACTAGAAGGTGAGGATACAGGGATGGAGCAGAACATTAATGACAAAAGAGATCATCAGGGTCGCGGTACATACAGATAATGCCGCAATGACATGACCACCAAAGAGACGCTCTGCATGATGCAGAACAGTGCTCAATGCCTCTGGAGTCGATAAGCCATGAGAATTTGTAGGCAACTGTACTGCAGGTGAATCTGCTGCAGTATTAGGTGACTGGTTTGGCGGGTAACCTGGTTAAGAGGACGCAAAGTCATTCAGAGATCCACTCCACCATAAGAGAAGAAGCAAAAATGAAAAAAAATCTCACCGTTCTCTGAGAATACGAGCTCCATGCGATTCATGAAGTCAGTAAGCGTGTGCAAGGAATCAGGAATGGGCTTCAACATTTAAAAACAAAAGAAAAAAGAACTGAGAAACAAAAATGGCCATGAACAACATGAGACAGAAAGTAACATAATATCTGAAAGACATTCTTACCGAATTAATTGAGGGGACAGCTATTGCTGCCCCCAGTGGAATTTGAACTACTTGAGGTAAAGATTGACCAGCAAATGCCTGCCCAGATTGCTGACTTCCTGACTGACTTTGACTCACATTTCCTTGAGGTGGAGGAACTGGAGCACTGACCTACTCACAAACCAACCCACCAAGCAAAGATTAGGAGGAAGCAGTGGACAACACAGATGCAATTCTACAGCACCTGGCTAGGTGAACGTAAGTAAAATTAAAAGCCACATATTAGTGAGGGTCCTGTAGTTTCAAAACATGAAAGGGCTTATCACAAAATAGAGAAATCCCAGTAAAATATAAAAGAAGCAGGTAAACCTAAGAGAACTGAAATATAAGAGATAAAGGTGGGAAAAGGACCTGCACACCAGGAAGCTGGCCACCAGTCATGTTCCCAATCCCTACAGTGTTTAAAACTGCCCCAATAACCTAGAAAGTTGGACATTTTCTGTTATGAGATTCTCCCAAATTAACTCAAATTACACTGATTATAAAAGCTTGCAACTCCTATGAAACCCACCCGACTAAGATCAGGCACAACTCCTTCCCCCTGATCTCCAACATTAAAAGTTCCTAGGACAACACTGTGTGAAATCTGCCCGACACGCCGTGAGCCTCCAGCAGAAGGTTGAAACTCTTGTCCTGTGATGCTCAAAGATAATAAAATTGATTGTTACTCATCTGACCAATAAAATCAGCCAAATGACCTTAAAGCCTAAATTTTAAATCACAAAACCTTTACCTCTGCTGACATTGTCAGTAGTAGCTTGTCCAGTGCTGCTAACCGATGAAGGTTGCGGTTGAGATTGCCTCAGTACTAAATGTAGTGTGTCCCCATTTTCCACATCTGTAAAGAGTCAAGGTTTGGCAAGAAACCCAAAAATCATAGATGACAGGCTCCATTTTTGCAAAAATATTACACCCAATCAGGCAAATCTGTAAAACTCTGTTAACAAAGCATTGGAGTTTGCATCTAATCAGCTGGACAAAGATAAGTCCCTAAAATTAATCATAGCCACGATAAAAATTAGAGGTGAGAAGTCAATCAAATTGTTAGATGGAAACAGCTCACTAAAATTAATTACTGTTAGACCTGCCGTTACTAGGGTCTATAACCTCAGAAAGAAGGGTGAAAATAAGACTTAAATGTAATTGTTTTATTTATTTATTATTATGTATCTGTATTGGTAGTAGTTACCTAGCAGTTCAGGCAGTTATCTTGTGTTATATTATATTAGGAAGAAAGGAAGACAGGCAGTTTATTCTGTAGTATTTTTTCTGGCAGATTTGGAGGTTAAGGTTCCTCAAAATACCTTGGTTGTTAGGTGCATTAATGTTCTAATTGTTGTTTGTTTCTCTGTAGAACTTATTCTGTTTGTTGGCAGCAATAAAGAATAGTTGAAGTGTTGTTCTGTATTGCAAATTTCACAACTAGCCACGAAGTTTTGCACATCCCTTTTAATTCCATTCCAATATAACACTTGTGAGATACGCTTGTATGTCCGAAAAAAACTTGAATGACCACCTGTAGGTGAGGAGTGAAATTCTTTAAGGAGCATAGGAATGTATAATGAAGAACGGGGAATCACCAACCGACTTTTTGAAAAATAGGCAGCCATTTTTTAGAGCATAATTCGGTTGTGAAGCTGGATCTCGAAGCAAATCTTGTGTCACTTGACGAAGTTGATCATCTTGTTGAATTTCTGTAACAAGATCATCTAAGGTACCGTTGTGTAAAACAGAAAAGGCCATGAAATGAAACTGGCGGGACAAAGCATCAGCTGCCTTATTCTCACAATCGGGCCGATATTGAATTTCAAAATCAAATCCTATCAACTTGCTGACCCATTTTTGTTGCTCTTCAGCCATGACATGCTGGCCCATGAGAAATTGGAGACTTCTTTGGTCCGTCCGGATAATGAAATGTCGACCCATTAGGTAATGACGCGACTTTTGTACAGCTAAAACAGTAGCCATTAACTCTCTCTCATATACTGATTTAGATTGTGCTCGAATAGAGAGTCCTTGGCTGAGAAAAGCAATTGGTTGTCCTTCTTGCATTAAGACAGCTCCAATCCCAAATCCTGAAGCATCAATCTCAAGCACAAACACCTTGTTAAAATCCGGTAGTGCCAAAACCGGTAAAGTGACCATAGCCTTCTTAAGAGAATCAAAAGCTAATTGAGCTTCGTTATTCCAACTAAAAGCATCTTTCTTGAGCAATTGTGTGAGTGGCCTGGCTATCTTCCCATAGTCACGAACAAACATCCTGTAGTAACCAGTAAGTCCCAAAAATCCTCTCAAACCTTTAACATCTTTGGGAATTGGCCAATTAACCATACTTGTTATTTTGGAAGGATCTGTTGAAACTCCATCTGCTGAAATAATATGCCCCAAATACTCCAGTTCTTGTTGTCCAAAATGACATTTTTTACGATTGACGACCAAGTTAAAATTTGCAGCACCTCCCGCAAATGATCCAAATGAGTAGCAAAATTTGCACTATAAGCTAATATGTCATCAAAAAAGACCAATACAAACTTACGTAAGTAAGGACGAAATATATCATTCATCAAGGCTTGAAAAGTAGATGGAGCGTTGGTCAGTCCAAAAGGCATGACCAAAAACTCATAGTGGCCTTCATGTGTACGAAAAGCTGTCTTCGCAACATCCTCCTTGCAAACCCGGATTTGATGATACCCGAATCTTAGATCCAATTTCGAGAATATAGTGGCACCCCCAAGCTCATCTAATAACTCATCAATTGCTGGAATTGGAAATTTATCTGGAATAGTAATCTTATTAAGGGCTCGATAATCCACGCAGAATCTCCAACTACCATCCTTTTTGCGAACTAGCAATACTGGACTAGAGAAAGGACTTGTACTTGGTTGGATGATACCAGCTACTAGCATTTCCCTTGTATCTCAATCTCATTTTTCTGGTAATGGGGGTAACGATATGGACGAATATTGGGTGGACTGGTTCCTGTTTTAAGTTGGATAGCATGATCATGGCTCCTACTAGGTGGCAGCCCTTTTGGTTCCTCAAATAACGTCCCAAATTCTTCAAGTAATTGCTGCAAATCCAAATTCTCTTGTTCTTCCCTTACTGTTAACTCATTCAGATCAACATAATATCCTTCTGCATCTTTTTGCAAGGCTTTAAACAGATTTTTGAGTGAAGCCACCGATTTGCACAATGAGGGGTCGCTTCGAACAACTCGTGTTTGCCCCTCTATTTCAAATTTCAGCGTCAATGTTTTGAAATTGGCTTGGATATCCCCCAAAGTCTCTAACCACTCGATTCCTAACACTACATCAGCACTGCCCAAATCAAAAAGAAAATAATCCTGTATTAACCGCATTTCATCAATCCACAATTCCACTTCTTTGCAGCTTCCCATGCTTTTTACATGTTGTCCATTCCCAACTTCTACCAAAAACGGCTTTGTTTCTGTTTGTTTTAACCTTAATGCTTCAGCAACTGTGCAAGAGATAAAATTTGTTGATGCTCCGCTATCAATCAACACAATAACCTTCTTTCCCAATATTGTTCCCCATACTTTCAACGACTTTTTTGAAGTAAATCCTGCAATAGAGTGCAAAGACAACTGCATTAACTTTTGTGGTTCCGTCTGTCCTAGAACATTTAATTGGTCTATCCCTACGCTTATTACTTCCTCCGTTTGCTCATTTATGCCTCCTTCTTGGTCATCCTCTGCTGCCACAATAAGTAGATTTAACTGTTTTAAATTGCACCGGTGATTAGGGCCATATTTTTCATCGCAGCAAAAACAAAGCCCTTTTCTCAATTTATCTTGATATTCTGCATCAGATAGCCTTTTGTATGCTCCTCCACACCTTGCAAAAGTTTCTGGTGCTGCTGGTACGATTTCTCCTCGCTTTTGCTCGTGAAATTGTTGTGGCACTGTTGTAATAGTTGTACGTGCAGAGTTAAAGGGTGTTGTGGCTACACGCACATGAGGACTTGTAGTGCTTCCTGTTCGGTTGTTATCCGTCACAGGGAAATGGGTTGGACCCCTAGGAAGTGCTATACGCATATGTCTTGGCAAGTGTGCTTGGCTGATAGCCCAATTCTTCTCTTCAATACGCTGGCTTTGGTCCATTATTTGGGTTAGTGTTCCCAATTTGCTAAGACGCAATTCTGCTTTGATCTCCTCTCGCAAACCATTGATAAATATTCCCATCAAAACCTCATCGTCGGCATCTTTCAAGGGTGCTGAGAGTAGTTCAAAATCTTCTCTGTATTGGGCCACGCTTCCAGTTTGTTGCAACCCTATCAAAACTTCGTATAAGTTCCCCAATTGTGATGGAGTAAATCGTTGGAGTATGGCTACTCGAAACACATCCCATGTGACAACTGGAGTTCTTGTCTCCCACCACTGGAACCAATTTAAGGCTCTTCCTTCAAGACAAACAGCAGCAGCCTCCAATTTATCCTTGTCATCAATGCCATTGAAATGAAAATAACACTCTGCTCTATTAAGCCACCCATATGGATTATCACCAGAGAATAAGGGTAATTCTAGCCTTCTAGGACGTGTTTCATCACGAAATTGTGGTTGAAACCCCTCACGTTGTCCATCGCCTCCCTGATTGCCGCTATTTTCTGCCATCATTTCTGCCTCTTTAGTTGGATCTACCTGAGTTTTCGGATTTCCCATCATATATCGAAGAATTTCAGCATCATGTTTATCCTTTTTCTGCATCCACTCCCGTAATTGACCTAGGTAATCCCGTACTGCCCCAATCTCCTCTTGTACTTCATTCATTGTTTTCTCTAACCCTTCAATTCGTCCTTCCATTCTGGTTGAAACCATGAAGGCTCTGATACCAAAAATGTTAGGAAACCAGAATTTCTCCTAACTGTAGTCAGTGAATTTTACCAACATGGTCATCTCTAGATGACCAATGGAAAAAACCAATGAAGAGAGGTTAGGTTGGTGGCAGTGTCAAATGTCAACTACAATTACCCTGTTGAGATCAATATCCCAAGGGGAAGGACACCAAAATTTCTATTAGATTCACTCCTAAGCTTGCTTTGCAGATTAGGCGCACATCAAAAATTTGAGTTTAAGGGTTGAAATTTTCAAACAAAAAAAGGTATTTAGGGTTGTGGCAGTTGCCTAATCACGCTAACAGTTCTTTTACGGTTTTTAAAAAAAATTATTTCAGATTATGTTCGAGCGTCGTATGTTATCAATGAACTACAGCATACTCCACCCTCAATCACCACAACTGAGAGCTTCTTTCTGAATCAGTTTAGACAGTTTTTAAGCATTTAACAATCAGCTATGAGATGATAGAAACGGAAAAGGTGGAATAAGCTTACACGAAATGATGAAATCCTGGAATTACCTCAAGAGAGATGTAAAAACCCAAATGCACATATACAACATTTAACAGAAAACCCTGTCCATAGAATTTTAAAGAGAAAATAATACTCCCACCAAAGACTTGTCGAGTTGAAGACATAATATGTTTTATATGTACAAAGTGGGAAACTTGAATTTCCCAGTTGATAGGATACGATATTCCGAAAGAAGGTGATCATCCTTCAAGACCTTGCCCCTAAAAATTAGTCTTTGCTGCTCAACAGGTACACCAATCTGACTTGCTATTCTGTCTTTCAAGGCTGAAACTTGCATCTGACATTGAGATATGATAGAACAGTAAAGTGAACAATGAGTGCCAAGAAGAGACATATCAGAGTGGTATAGTGCATGAGTGATAAAAGATTCCAAATGCTAAAATTCACATTCAACTTCATATTGATAGGACCTTTTTGAGAAAAGGTTTCTACATGTCAATACATTATTTCTGGCAAACAGAAAAGGGAACAAACATACTTTTCAAAATCAGCATAAGTTTAAGAAAGCTTCACATCCAACCGAATAAGCATGATGGTAGGTACTCTTTTTTAGCATAAGTTGCAACAGAAACAGAATAAGTAACAAAATTTACATTCTTATCCACGTTAAAAGGATGTGTCTGGGAATCTAAGGTCTTGATATTGAGCTCCACGGTTGATTCAGAACTTCCACTAGAAACATTGCTTGTGCTTGACCCTTCAACTGATTGTTGCTCAGCCATGAGACTTTAGAAACAACAACTACCTGAACAGCAAAACTCTGAAGTATGGTAAGCATTTACTAAAACACCACGTAAAATAGTTAAGACAAACTAATACCAAGATGCGACTGAGCAAAAAAGTAGCAGCAAAATAAAATCCCCCCCACCCCCCAAAGGGCAAAATCAATTAAAATATTAACACAGAAAATTCAGAAGTGCATCCATTCTGAAAAATAGAAAAGTGGCCAAGGATGGGAAATAACCGTGAATGAGTCAGATACAAAAAGTAAATTATAATTCATGACCAGCTATCTTGAATCCACCCCCCCCCCCC